CCTAATTAAGAGAATCTATACTTGATTCAGTAAGTCATCTATGTAACAATTATCTTACTATGAAAGCTCTGGACCAATTTTCCTCATCCAGTGCCTCATCTTCTTAATGCTGTTTGTTACCAATTAAGAATAAATCTAAATAAACTCTGAAATGAAGTGTACACTGCCTTTTAAGTATGACTACTGTGCATAACTATAAAGATATCAAAATTCTGATGGTAATGTTCTACAGAAGACTTTTGAAGACCACTTTAATAAGGACCTTGCTATAATTCTCTCATCCTTGGAGTATTTTTTTTCTCTTTTTAAATTATGGAAGCAATAGGGAAGAGAATTCAAAAGCTATAAAAAAAATTAATTTGCGCAACTTTATTAGAAAAGTGTCTTGCTTATTTATTACAAGATCTTGCTAGTTACTTTTGTTTATGCTATAAACAAACACTACTATGTTTTAACAGAGTTAATAGCATGACCAACTGCATTTTCAAAAAAAAAAAAACAAAACCAAAAAAACCCACAACTGGTATTAGAGTAACCCTAAAGAAAACAGATATATAGACTCAGACAGGTGTTATCCAAAACATATTTTTAATATAATCTATGTTTGGAGCCTAAAGAGAGTAAGAGCAGAGAAATATATTTGTTATTCGTTTTTTTACATTATCATTGAAGCTAAATCAAAAAAGAAAATGCAGTATTTGAATACATGGAATTTATATATTTGAATTTATAATTGAAATATTTCAGTTACATGGAATTTCCCTGCACAGGAAGTCTTTGTGATAGAATGGAACACAAATACAGAGTTAGTTAAAACCAAATGAACAATAACTTTTCATTCTGCTCACTGAGGGTTCAACACTTAGTTTCACACCCAAAGCAAATAGATTTGAACAATGTAAAACAAACTATATTTAAGTCTAGTATGTCTCCATCATATTCCTCAAAGTCACTTTGAAGCATTAAATACCACTTCACTTCGTTGTAGTCACAGAACACAGAAATTCGTGTTAAGTCTTTGTACTCACATTTGTCAATATTTTAGAGCATAGCAGGCATTCCACTCTATAATTCAAAGCAAGATG